TCCGTATGGGATACAGGTTCGATTCCTGTCGGAGGACGCATATTTTCTATGAAAATTTTTCGGACATTCAAGCCGGTAAATGTTAATTCTGTTTATTATAAACAGAGCATTTACTTAAATATTTGTATCTATAAATAGATATCTATAAACATAAAAAATGTCTTAAATATATATATATATATATATATATATATATATATATGTGTGTGTGTGTGTGTGTGTGTGTGCAGCCATATTGAGGATTCAGAAATTCTTGCACTAAGGAATGAATCGTGTGGAATGGCGCTGTAAAGGAACATATGTTTGTTGATGGAGTTCTTTGGTATGACCACCATTCTAAATGCTAATGTGTACACACGCTATAACGGGATAGATTAATCAATTATGCGATTAATCGAATATCGGAATTATTCAATAAATTGAATTTTCGCTTCATTTACCAGTTCTTTATGATGATGTTGTGAGATGCGGGACAAATAAATTCCTTTTGAAATGTTGCATGCACGAGTTAGTATAAAAAATAATGATATCGATCAGTTAAATCTAAAAAAAAACAAAAAACAAATCTTCAGTTCTCCAGAAACTAGGCTTACCAATATATTGGGAATAATAGATATGAAGACAAGACGGATTAAATAATGATGCACAGTCACTCCTCACTGGGAAATCTACTGAAGTGGCCTAGTATCACATTAAAATGCCTGAATGACAAAACCACTATAGTTAATGACCCAGTTGTATAAACCGCCATTTTTTTTTTTAACCGAGAAACCTATTTAAGTGGTCTTGTGCAACACCGAGTTTCGTAATATCATACTATAGTAATTTGAACACCTATTTTATTTTATTCTTTTCACCACAAGCAAGGCAACAAGCCACTACCACGCAATAGGTTACTGAATGCGGAAGAAAATGAGAAAAAAACATTATCAAGGAACGAGAATTTAAGAGGACAGAATATAACGATTGTCATTGCATTTAAATTTTTAATCTTGACTGGGAAGCAAGAAACCCGAAAAGAACCCTACAAGCAAGAAAGGCAAGAAAACAAACTGTTAGCATAGAACTTACCGTTACATCTACTTATGTTTGTTGCAAAATGATGAGACCTTGCCGACAATCTAGTACTGCGATTAAATTTATAGAGTCTAGATACAGTAGAGGAAAGATCATCATCGGAACAATCACTGAAGGTATTTCTAGACAAGGCACAGGGAAGCTGTATTATAGTGGTGGGAAAGTGTTTGTAATATATTGTAAATCTTCTCAGATATTCGACCGATGATTACCAACATTTTATCCTACAGAGTAAAGATGAATGTGGTACTATGGATAAGTGCCACGCGGAAGCACATATATGGGAGATCAGGGTCCTCGTTTTTTGTGTCTCTGGCACAGGGACAGCCGCCCAATATGAACCGCGGCGATTAAGGTGGTTGTGTTTTGTTATAAGGGGTGAGCATTCCGGGATTGTGAGCATTGGCAATAGTATTGAGGCATTATACCCGTTCCAAGCAGGAAAAGGAGGCCAGGTTTAAAATGAAGAAGAGGGAGCGCCATTTCTGTATATATATATATATATATATATATATATATATTTGTGTGTATGTATATATGTGTGTGTGTGAATGAACATAACTAGCAGGAACACCGTTAGACAGATATACACAATTAACGGAGATAGATAGATAGATAGATAGATAGATAGATAGATAGATAGAAAATGATAGAAAAAAAAAAAAATGAAAGGAATAAAGTCAGAGAGAAAGAGACATCTATATGTGAACTTTGGCAATGGTGTTGAGGTACTGATACCCGTTTCAAACGGTAACAACAAGACATGAGCTTTAGAATAAAGAAGAGAGAGTTCCAGTTCTGCACACACACACACACACACACACACACACATATATATATATATATAGAGAGAGAGAGAGAGAGAGAGAGCTTTGGAG